TAATCTATAAACCATATATCTATAATACGTCTGGTCTATCAGCCTTTCATTCAAATTATTCCATAAATGTCCGAGTGAATCCATAAGCGTTCTGCTGTCCATTAAACACTCCAGTATGGCGGTTTCCATTTCGGAAGATATTTTGACGGATAAAAGATATAATTCTTTTACCATAAACGTCCCGCAATGGTGGGCTAAGGGTAAATTAATGATGGTAGTTCTGTAGACAGACCATATATCAATCCTTGGCTCCCATTCAGCAGAGTCTCGCAAGTAAATGTCATTTACATTACAGGTGTCGTCAGATGAGGCGTATTTATAACCCGACTGATTGTCATTAGCTGATGGATTTGGAAAAGGAGTAAGTAACATATGTTGCGCTTAAAATAGTGTGTTAACGCTAAATATCTGTGTATTCAAGGGATGGACGTTCTTATAGAGTTAAGCGTCACAGTAATTGGTTTTTCTTCATGTCAACAATATTTGTACGTGCAGGAGACTTACTAACTTGGCGTATCTCAGATGTACAGTGAATGAGTATAATTTTACGCCGCTTTTTGAAATATTCCAGCAATATCACGGAGGGCGACACCAGAAATGGGCTTCACACATTGTACACAATGGGAATCGAACCAAGGTGTTCAGTGTGACGAGCGAACACTTTAACCACTGGGCTATCCCACTGTCCCCTCAGTTATACATTCACATGCATGTTATAATTTGTTGACAAACTTCACTTGGTTAAAATGGCAGTGCAATGCTGCCAACTCCGTGCTGACGTGACTGATACGTTGTCAGTAAGGTCCTGTGACATAGTTTTGTATGGTAGATAATAAGGAATTGCATCGGGCATCATTTTTGCCCAAGATGCGTCACACTTTGAAGTGAGACCTATTGTTGCACCATTGCTCACATGAGGAGATGTTGATTAAAGACGTTAGAGTTGTCCCTGTTGTCATATCTTGAGACTAGTTTTTGTCACTGAATTTGTATCCAATCATATCTAGTTAGATTCAATGGAAGAAACTTGGATTTTGACAGTTATTGATAATATTGGACCATCACTATACAATATTAAACGTCAACTCCATATTATAACCTGTCTGATTATCTGACGAAAAAGATTCAATTGGGCATAATCGGAAAAATTAGTGTTGACACGTAGACGAATGGCTCACTGAAAATCAAAGATGACACCAGGTGTTGATGAAATGGGTAATACCCTCCTGCCCTTCTGTCAGCAGGCGGAATGTACACAATCTGCATTAAAAAAGTAAGTTTTTGTTCCCCAACGCCCTACAGCAGTACCGCCTCCGTGGTGTAGTGGTTAGAGCGTCCGCCCGGAGAGCGGAAGGTCGCGGGTTCGATCCCCGACCGCGTCATACCAAAAGACGTTAAAATATGGTACTTGTTGGTCCCAGCCTGGCGCTCGGCATTAATGGGTACAACAAGGGCTGGTCAGTATAATGTGTCTGAGTCGGGCTATTCATGCTTCACTGCGGCATGGTATCTCAGTGGGCTAGCACTATAAAACCAGCTTAAGTCTGGGCTAGTACAAGCAGCCGCACATACACATACACACGCATGCACGTCGTCATGTGAGCGAAATATTCTCAAGCACGACATTAAACCCAATTTCACCTCACAATCACCTCACAATCGCGTCTTGACCAGACAATCCGGTGACGCGATCGCGCGTTCACTGAATATGTTTAACTAAAATCGATAATATATTTTTGAATCACAATCGATGCGCACTGAGGCAGTTTTAAGGTCTCGGAATGAACATTGGTGTTTTGTTCATAAAACATAACTGATAAATACCCTGATACCATAATAAAACCCGAGGACTTCAGCAACCAGTTCGTGTTATTATCAACCGTCGACGTCAGAGATTAAATCCAGTTACTATCATAAGTCCCACGTGATACAGTCACAAGCAATTGGGAGTAACTGCTGAGAGGGAATGGAATAAATGGAGCACACTATGCACGGCCCTTGTCAGTGCTTCAGTTCCTGGCAATGAAATAACCGATATCAGTGGTCCATCAGTTAGGATGTTGTCAATAAATACTGTTTGTGGATCAGACATAAAATCTGATACTATGCAAACAGTAAGAAAAACAATCTGAACATCAATTCATAAAAAAAAAATGCTTATGTTGTGTTGATTTAGGTGCCAGTATTTACACTAAATATGCAACATTGATCTTTTATTTCACGTACATGTTGATTTGGTTCAAATGAGATAACAGCAAATCTATAAAAACAGAATAAAAGAAAGGGCAAAATATTTATATAGGCTGATCCTTTCAGAAATTGATCATAATGATTTTGGGGTGGTGTAAAAATCTGGAATACCGAAATGGAAATGAGAAAAGAATTAAATGTAAGTAGCAAAAACTTTGCAAAATTGGTTCACAATACAGTCATTATTTTGTGCTTTACTCCACACGCCACGTGCATGGATTTCAGTGTTGGTAGTTCTTAAGAAGTAACACGCTGAAAGATTTGATCATGAAGAAATAAAATGCAATTTTGAGTATCATTTCAAAAACATTTGAGGCATGAAAACGGGAAATGCGGGGGTTATTGAGGGAGAGATTTTTAGATGCACGTGGGCGGATGGGTGGATGAAAAAACCTTTTATCCGGGAAGATATGTTAGACAGGTGGGAGAGAATAAAACACATTATCTCTCGAACATTACCTCTGGAACAAAAGCTAATTTCCTAGTTATCAACCGACGCAGTGAATCTTGCCTGTTGATATTCCAAGCTAGAATCAGTGCAGGTGTTGTGTCTCTAACTATCTAAGCATCCCGCCACGGCTTGCCAAGTCAATATGGGTCTCTACACTTTATCTTGATAGCTCATCCAGATATGGTTAATTAACGAGAGGTTCCAGCGAGACAAAAACTGGCTCATTTGCAGTGTATCATTGGTGACACCTGTATCAATGGGGCCAATCATTGGTTTCACCTGGAACACTTTGTTACTCACACTTTCTGTTATTTGAGTATTACATGGTTCAGTCACAGAGGATAATGTTTTGGCTATGTTTTGAAATACAGCAGTGAGTGAGTGAGTTTGGTATCACGCAGCTTTTATCAATATTCCAGCAATATCACGGCGGGGGACAGTAGAAATGGGCTTCACACGTTGTACCAATGTGGGGAATCGAAACCCGCGTCTTTGGCGTGTCGAGCGAACGCTTTAATCACTAGGCTACCCACCAACCCTGAAATACAGTAAACTACGTTTATAGTGCACTTTTTCTTTTGGCATTTGCTGTGTATTTTAGTCGAAACACCTATAACGAACTACAATCATAACAAACTCAGTGGTCCCTTTGAGCCCGTTGCAACTTGTAGTCTACTGTATCTCAAATATTTCGTGTTAAAGGTTGTTTCGTTCATATAGACGTGATTAAGCTTTCATGTGGACGTGATTAAGCTTTCATATGGACGTGATTAAGCTTTCATATGGACGTGATTAAGCTTTCATATGGACGTGATTAAGCTTTCATATGGACGTAATTAAGCTTTCATATGGACGTGATTAAGCTTTCATATGGACGTGATTAAGCTTTCATATGGACGTGACTAAGCTTTAGTAGTGTCAGAGACCATAACGGTATATGGTCTCTGGTAGTGTCAATATGATTCAAAGTTGTTCTTCAAGTATTATATGATATAACAGTACTTTCAAAACTAATATTATGACAACCAGGAAGGGTTTCATTGCTGTTTGTTGAAGTACCACTGTAACCCACACAAGGAATGTGGTTAAATGTATATAATGTTTTAGATTTAGACACAGTATACTGATTCTGAGATAAACTGTCTTTGTTTTTCCTTAATACCGAACCTCAGGCATGGGGTTTCAACACCATCTTCATCAGCTGGCCGAGAATCGAACCATGGATGTCCCGCTCTCCGTGGAGATGCACTACATCTCGGAGGCAGCCCATCGCTATGAGGAAACCATCGACCGATACCAGAAGGCTGCAATATAGATTAATGTGACCAAAATACGTCGAACTTAGTTCTTTTTTTGTTTATTGGTTTTTTCCCCTTGTTTTGGTTTTTGGCACACGACAAAGTGTTAAAGACAATATAGGAACTATGTGTAGAAAATAGTGACGTTTAAAAAGTACGATAATGTAAGCCGAGTCTTGAGATTAAGCAGCATTTGACTTTAACGTGAGCTGGTTTGCCTATGTTGGTAGACTGCAAACCCACCGACGTATCTCCACAAGAAACAGCCAATCAGCAAGCCGGTCACGATATAGTTTTTGCACAACGAGTACGAGAGTATATCGGTTATATCACGGCATGGTGTGTTGATGAGGGAGAAACGCCCGACATGATGTAGGTATAAGACATTCAGTTATGTTAGTATGGTGCTGATAAACCTAGAATCATAATGAGGGTGTGATTCGAAGATTCAGAGAAAAGATCCTGTCGCATCTAAGGGATGCAACTCTGCACCATGATTGATCACTGTATTCTGTCATACAGACCCTGAAACAAATATACCCAATGAACACCATGCAAGTCTAGCTAGAATGTGTGGCAAGCCTAGATTACCGCAGTTTCAGTTTTCTGAAAATGAAGAAAGTCTCTGGGCTCCTTTTCATTGTATTCATAATTTTAATCTAAAAACTTTCATTTTCTGTAAAATATGTTCATTTTAGAGACTAACTGTTAGTCTTTGATCACCCGTACTCCCGACTATATGGCGTTAAGTGTACGTAGGTTATCGAATGACACGATAGTATACGATACAATTTCATTTCAGCCTCAGATTTATAAGCGAACAAACTATCTATTTTGGGTCGACATATTGAAATAATGTCCATATCATAAAACATTTATGGTATAATGAAGCATATAGGTCAACAATGAAGCATAACCGTCAACAGATAAGCCTGTTTATATTAGGCACACGCCATGCCCGTGAAACGTTGGTAGTTATCGCTCCAGTGCAACACACGGCTTAGAGCCTATGAACGCTCCGTGTACGTAGTGTGGGGGTCTGGCGGTAGTCAGCCATTGCCGAGCACCGCAGCGGAATCAAATCAATGCAACGCCGAGGAATGAAAACTCATTAAGGGACATAGCCCAGTGAGGAGTACGGTTAGAAACATGCGTATTGGAGGGACGGAGTGATGGCGGGCACGAGGAACAAGTGGAGGACGATGGTGGATTGGTTCAGTGACATGAAGTCGTGTTTGCCAACAGAAGAACCTAATTTAACTTTGTGGCAGTATCCCTGCGTGGAATCGGTACTAGGTGTTGTACAGCCTTGTGGGTTTATGTGAGATGTGTATAATTGCTGCGATTCATTGGCACCATTATTAACTGACGGTTCTGTTACCAAATGTCAGACCAAACATATGTGACACATCGCTAAGCGGTTGACCTTTTGGGCATGCGATGCTAATACTCACGAACCGGATATGAAACTGTTATTAATAATGTTACGCAACGTCATAAACAGAGTTATATATCATGTTATTAAAACTAGTTGAGGAAAACGGGTCTGCGTGTGAGCTCAAGTCATCAAAACGGATATACCAGAGAAATTATTCTTTTGTGGACACACGGGTCTCATAACAATCTGAATATGGCTGTGTATCATCTGGTCAAGTGTCAAGTGTTGACCGAATCACGTGTCTTTTTCTGCATCTTCATCTTCGGATTAATCATCTCAACCTCAGAAGCTGTTAGACTTGGTAAGTACATTAGTAAACATAAAGTATTAAAAGCTGGTATCACTTGTTTTTTATGTGTAAATTAACATATACCCCCGGCGTTATTTGTGTTGTTTGTGTAAGTGGTAAAAATAAGTTCATTGCTCAGCTGCTGACGTTATTGATTGGGCACATACACGATATGATTGTCAAGGTAAATGGGTATGGTTTATTGATCAGCATTGAACTGGGATATCGTAGATGTCCTAAAATTCAATTTCAGAGATCACGAACGGCAAATTTGTCTTATGCAACCGAGCTACGGTAAATGTTTTCATAGAACTCTTTAACAGCTTGAAATTAATGTACCGATGTCAGCATCTGACAGGTACAACAATCGAGTCACGGTATGGCTGCAATACTGCCGTTGTGACTATAAACCTTAACTCACTACAACAACTGAACAACGCGGACACAATAAGATCGATTAGGTATTGACTGATTCTCACCCATAGGAACTGCCAATTGTCATTTATTTAGGAATCCATATCACATACAGAATACATTTCTACATGTCATTGACAATTCTTCACAACATTAAGGCAAACACTGGTATTTAGATTCTCATCCTAGGTTCAATGGGCTAACCTCAATTTCATGTCGGTTATCTCGAAGTACCGTTATCTCGAAACACAGAAACCAGTAATATAATATATATGTTGTTTTCAGGACAATTCAGTGTCTGAAAGCTACAAAGCTTCTTTGCGTTACAGGGGCGGTGGGGTAGCCTGATGGTTAGCGCGTTAGCTCGTCACACCGAAGACCCAGGTTCGATTCCCCACATTGGTACAACGTGTGAAGCCCATACCTGGAGTCCCCCGCCGTGATATTGCTTAACTCATTCACCCACTCACTCTTTACGTTACATATGTCGTACGTGTTATCTTGCACACGTATAGCAACTTATTCGTATAGTTTAATACAGGTTTTTGGAATGTAATGGGTGTGTGGATGTTTTTTCTTACTTCGACCTAATACCTTCGTCATGACAGGTAGCTACGTGGTGGCTAGTAATTAAAGCGTTCGCTCTCCACAGACGCTGGTTCGAATCCCACTTGAGCAAACTGTGTGGAATTTTTGCATTTGATATCCTGGCATTATAACTCATATGGAATTATTACCACGTTAATGTAACGGATTGACTGAGTGAGTGAATGAGTGAGTGAGTGAGTATGTTTGTACGCCGTTTTTAGCAATATTCCATATCACGGCGGGGACACAAGAAATGGGCTTCACACATTGTATCCATGTGGGGAGTGGAACATGGATGTTCGGCGTGACGAGCGAACACTTTAACCACAAGGCTGACACACTGCCATACAGGGATTGATGCTGATCAAACGCTAAAGCTTAGATCAATGTTAAAGTAACACCTTCAGTACAACGATGCACCATGTGTAAAACCACTGGCCTTGACCACAGGTAGTTGTGAAGCGTGTGACATGGCTCAGGATCAGAAACACCCCAGTGACCAATGCCACAGTCAGCTGACCCCTAACCAGTAGATACTTGTCTGGACCAGACAAGCCAGTGACTGAGAACATGGCCAGTGGTCCCGCTACTGGGGCACGATGACACAGGATCGGCCAAGTCACTGAGTCAGTGGCATGGTCCGCAGTGATGTAAGCCGTTCTTGTTAGATTAACCGTGTTGCCAGTTTGACAGTCCACCAGGGCATACTATTATAAAGGCTATGTATGCCGAGGTTAAAGCTTGCGTTAGATATAAATGTAATATCTCTGACTACTTCCATGTTACTGTTGGTATAAAACAGGGCGAGGTCATGTCTCCCATATTATTTTCCTTGTTCATGGAAGATCTCGAAATGAAGCTCCAAGAAAACGTCGATAGTGGACTGTGGATTGAATATGTATGTCAGTCTGTTCCTTATATTGTTTGCTGATGACATGATCTTGTTTGCTGAATCGCCGAGTGGACTTCAACATCCTCTGGATAGTTTGCATGAATACTGAAGTGACTGGGGCCTACAAGTTAACATTATGAAGACAATAGTGATGGTTTTCCGCAAAAGACGAAGATTAAAACAGGATGAGCATTGGTACTTTAATACTATGCCGCTTGAGATTGTAGATGAATTTAACTACTTAGGTAATATGATTACATACACAGGTAGTTTCAGATGTACTCAAAAATTGTTAGCTGGTAAAGGTTCAAAAGCTATGAATGTTCTGCTCCATAACATTAGAAATGGTCACCTTTCTGCTAAAACATGTTGTGGTCTGTTTGATTCTTTTGTTACATCTACTATGCACTATGGTTGTGAAGTCTGGGGTTTGCAAAACGCAATTGAAATTGAACGTGTACATTTAAAGTTTTGTAAAGTTCATCACAATGTTACTAATATGGCTGTATATGGTGAACTAGGTCGTTTTCTTTTGTATATTAATAGATATTTAAGGGTTGTAAAATACTGGTTCAAACTGCAATGTACATCAAATTTTGTCTCCTTAAAGTAATCTATGAATTGCTGTTGTCACAGTGTAATAATGGCGTCAAAAACTGGGTGTTCCATGTTAAAAATGTTTTATTTATATATGGTTTTGGATATGTTTGGTGTGACCCAGGATGTGTTGACGCTAGTACGTTTTGTTGTCATTTTAAGCAACGCTTAATTGATTGTTTTATTCAAAAATGGCATCATGACATTACTTCAAGTAGTAAATTATGGCTATACAGTAATATCAAAAGTGAATTTGGATATGAATTATACTTAGATGCTTTACATCCAAACACTGTTAGGTATTTAACTATGTTACGAATTTCGTGTCATAAATTAAAAATTGAAACTGGGCGTTATGAAAATATTGATCGGGAAAAAGATATTGTATCTACTGTAAAGAAAATAATGTAAATGTAATTGAAGATGAATACCATTTCGTTTTAATTTGCCCAAAACATACAGTACATCGACAACATCTGATTAAACCTTATTTTTGGAAGAAACCATGTATGTTGAATTTTTGGAATTATTAAGAAACCCATCTAAAGATAGTATTGCAAAATTATGTAAATACATAAAGTTATGCTTGTAAGTACCGAAATGTTTTGTCCAGCCTCCTTTTGAAAATGTAAAAAATAGGTATATTTCAATGGATAACCATATTCTATCATGTATACAGTGTAAAATGATGACGAGGGGCATATGGCCCAAGTCTTTACTGAATAAACAATCGAACAATCGAACCATCTGTCAAACAGTCTATACATATCGCCTGAAGCGTCTGATTAAATCAGATAATTACAAAGTATTCAGGTTATTTCCTGGACCGTGTACAGTTTGAGAACATTGTGAACTTCATATAACCTGACGTGAGAAAAATACCAAATTACTTTGTTGTTAATGAAATAATGACACTATTACGGTATAGGTAATTAAATAATGAGTTTTTGTCGCCGAATCTCGGCATTAATTTGATTGTATGGCATTTGGCTACTGATTGTCACTGCTGCCGTTAAACAATGGGCCTCCGTGAAGACTGGTTTTAGCACTGGTGTTCAGCAAACCATGCTTATCGTAAGAGACCCAGTGACTTGGTTATGCGTGTCATTGTATCCCAGTCTTGTAGATTGATGCTCAGTCACTTGGTTATCTGGTCCACACTCATGCACAGCGATGACTTTAACATAACATCACTGCCACAGGCTAATTTGCATATCACGTGACCGGACTTTTCTCTTGTTTGTAATCAAACGCACATATTCATAATAAGAAGAGACTGGACTCACGAAAGCTTTTCGGCGCTCTCTTCATAATGTTTTACATTGTTACATATATATTCTTCCACAACTGCGACAGTTAGGTCTATGACAGTACATATTTAGATATCAAACTGGCTGCATCGTTTGCTCTCCGTCGGCTTCGATGACAGCACGTGGAGCCGTACAACCTATGTAAACAAAGGATCGCTACGCAAATCGAAATAGTGTTACATGTTTTTGGATATTTTCTCAGTGAAACTAAACCATTCTATTAAAGATGTTTAGTTAGATGTGTAGACTCGTCAAAAACAAAGGAGTAAAAAAAATCTGTACATTATATTGAATGGACATTGCAAGATGTGACGAATCGTCACATTTTTCTGGCCTTTGGCAGAGGTACTATGCTGGCTTGCCGCATGGAACTCTGGGTAGGAGAGTGTATCTAGTCCAGACTACGTTTACTTACAGCCCGTCATCATGTAGCTGGACCATTGGTGAGAGCAGCGTTAAGCGACACACAAACACATCAGACATCCAAACAAAAAGTGAAGCATGGAAATTGCTAACAAATTCACCGATGTACACCCAAGGGAATATTTCAATATTTTGAATGAGAGTGTCAGTTATAAATGACACAACTCCCGAATTTAATCAGCATCAGATTTCTGTGTTATGTCAGATATCCATTGAGCCATTCTCATAATTTTGTCATTTACGTTCAGTGGAATCTGTTTTAGCAGATATTTTGGCGTTGACTTGTAGACATCCAACAGTTTGAAGCTGAGATGTCAGTTGCAAAATGCCAAGAGTCTGTGAAGCAGCTGAGCACACCCCACTTTCCATTTACAACACCACTGTGTAGACGATCACGGTTCAGCACAAATGACGTTCACAAAGTAACACTCTGTTACATGCCTCCCCTGACTACGATCTAGCCATCCAAATAGGAAGCTTTTCTGGCACTTTTGACCAAACTATGAGATGCTAATTTCCTATTCGTTGAAGCGACTTTAGATGTTAATGATACTTATCAACGAATTTGTGTTTCTGAAGGAATTATTCGCTTTTCATAGCATGACTATCAACGTCGGTGCGCGGTGTGATGTGGTTGTATTGTGTTAACTCTATGGGCCGAGAGTAGGATTGAGTGTAGTTTGAAACTCTAACCTATACCTCCAAGAGGGGCTAGTCAAAGAGCCATTTAAGTCGCTCGAAAATGCGTGTCAGTGTCACAGCTTTTTTACATGTAGGTTCGACGAAAG